TGGATGTCTCCTCAGAGGTCTTCAAGAGTCTGACATATTCAGAGGCAGATGCTCACAACCAGCCATTGTACTCATCATGGGGTTCTCAATGGAGGAGTTAGAGTGAAGACTGAAGGAGCTGAAAGGGTTTGCAGCACCATGAGGAGAGCAACAATACCAACAACCACAGCTCCCAGGGTCTAAGCCACCAGCCTCGGAGCACTTAGGGAGGGATCCAGGGCTTCAGCTGAATACTTAAGAATGGAGGGCCTTGCTGGGCATAGGTGGAAGAAGAGATCCTTGACCTCAAGAAGGCTGGACGCCCCAGGGGGTGGGAATTTTGAGGGTGGGGAGGTGGGAGTGGGGGTGTAGGTAGGGGTTACATCCACAGAGAAGAAGGACGAGGGGTGAGGGGATAGGGGGTTCCTGGGTGGGTGGGGGATTGGGTAAGGGGACAACATATGAAATGTAAATAAAACAGCCAATAAAAAAATTAAAAAAAAAAAAGAACTGGACCTTCCTTCTTCAAATTAAGCAAGCATTCTTATTAAGAGTGCTCTCCATTTTTGAGTTTCAGTTCCAGATGTAGTCAAGGACACAACCAAGAATAGTCACCACAAGTCTACCCCTAGTCAACCTGACACACATTCGTATCTTGTTATGTATGTTGTGATTAATTTCCAAATAAAAAAACAAGCAGGCTATAATAATGCTACACAGGATATAACTATCCCATATACAATTGTATTCTAACTATATACTTAATCTAAGCTAAAATTACATCTAACATTATATAAACATCCCTTATAGAACCTCAAAAATTATAAATTTACAATAGGTGGCAATGTCCAATGGACATTCTTTAATTTCTCAAACTTAAATATAACCAAATGATATTCTATTGCTATTCCATCACATGATAAAAAGAAAGAAAGAAAACACAAATATCTGTACAAACTCATACTTAAAAAAAATGAGAGAGAACTCATGCCCATTATGAGCCTCTTTTCTGCAACTGGTCACAAGGCCTTAGCTGGTATTTATATCTATCTTCCTCTTCTATCTATCCTGCATTTCCTCCACCCTCAGGAAGCAGCTCAGCAGGTCTTGGCCCATGCTTTCAATCCTGATGGGTCTGTACCCTTTATCATCCTGCTTGGATTAGACCATTGTACTTTTCCATTGACTTTAATCACAGGACATGATAGCACCAAGAGATGCCCTAAAGGATTTCCTGCACTCCAGAAATAATCTCTTTTACCTCCATTGTGGAGAAGCAATCCAATTTCCACATGGTACTCTAGATCAATCACCACTCTTAACACTGTTATTCTTTTTTTAGCCTGTTGCTTTAGGGGTATTAGGAGCCCAAAAAGGCCAGGGAGAAGTCTGAGTTTCCAATTCAATGGAATGTTTGTTGTGGGTCCTGGAAGGAATGTGCCTGACTCTGGAACCAACATTTCTAGGCCAGTAGACTTAAGGTCAAGGGAACAGGAAGCAAAAATTTTCCTAGTAGGCCACTAAGGGTAATAATGAGTGGAACTATTCCCCTTTCTACATGATTATTAAACTCCTCAGCTGAAACATCCTTTGATTAACATTTACATGGGATACAAGTGTCTTCACACCCTTCACCCATCTGGAGACATCTATAAACATACTTCTTCCCCAGATGTCTTTCTTACCAATTTATCCATCAGCAAATCTATTCCATTCCTTCACTGACATTAGAGCCTATTTCTTCAGGATTCCAGTGTAGAGTAAAAACCATCTGAGACATCTAGTCTCATGGAATGAGCAACTACTGGATTCTTGAACTTTCTGTTCACAGCTAGTCATTGCTGGACTAGCTGGACACAGCCTATAAGTCATTCTAATAACATCTTTCCCTCTTTATGGAGATTCATCCTATAAGTTCTGATACTATAGAGAACCCTGACTAATAATATCATATAAAGATACATCTATAAGGTTTAGAACTATAGCTACGGTTTTTTAAAAGACATTAATAATACATGGCCAATAAAAGACATAATGACAAAAGTTTAAAATACGAGCTAATAAGATTAAATTTGTGGCTTGTTACATATTTATACAAAGTACATGCTTATATGTATGTATATATGCTTTTATATATACATATATATATGTATATCTATGATATTTCTAAATAGCATCTGCTTGTTAAAACTAATATAGATGTTACTATGGTGGCTTTATTAAAAGAAATAAAAATTGGCCATCATTCCAGAAGGATGACTGCAGCCTAGCAAAATAGTGCTATCTCAGTGGTTAGATCTGGGAACAAGAGGTAAAGCAAACCAGAGGCTGCAGAACCTCCCAGAGGCTTCATCTCAACAGCTTCACATTATCCCACAAGAAAAAACAGAAGCATGAAGATGTCAGCTCCTCCACTGGTAGGGAATCAGACACTGGTCATATGGCTCTTTTCATGGTGGTATGGAAAACCAATTATGAACTTGGACTTTGACTTTTCTCTATGAGAAAAAACTCAATTTGGCAGAATATTTTCAAGGAGGATGCTAGACGGTTTCCAGCTTTGATCACTTACAATAATGACACCGAAACAAGAGTGCTGAGAAGAAAACAGAATGCACAAAATGTACTCTGTAGCCAGTGATTCAGCCAGTGTTTATTCTATAGTACTTACTCAGAATGCAAACAGGCTACAAAGCTTAAAATAATTACAAAAATAAGTTAAGAAATAAACATCAACAAATATAGCTACATAACTTGTAAATATCTGGCAATAGTGTAAAGCACATAAAAATTAAAATTGGGCTCAATGTTATACTGCAATCACAGATCAACTGTAACGATAATAATTTTATTGAAAAAAATAACGCCTTTTACAAAGCATTCAAGTAACTCTAAAAACAATTATCTTATTCTAAAAATTGTCATGACCCTTTAGAAGTGAGGAGATTTTTAAGTATACCTGGACTTTTCAGTACATAGCCTAAAATGTTTTGATTATATACATTATACTTAAAGGTAAGGCTGTTCCTTTGAATTCATTTCTCTTTGTAAGAAATGTTTAGAGGAAATGATAAATGTCAATACGAAGTGCTAAATACAATTCGATTGACTAAATTAATATTAGAAGAAGAAATTTTTGATCATTATGGTGTATTTTGTTTGGCTGCTGTAAAATCTCCTAGCTTAATTGACACTATAGCCCAAGCATTAAGATAGCATTTTAGCATTGTAAGCAGCTTTCCTATAATGAACAGAAACAACACAGTTTATAAGCAATCACAGCTGAGTCATTATAGCCCAAATACTTATTAATAATAGTCAGAAGGAGTGGCTTCTCCAAGGCTGGTGAACAGAGTTCCTTTATGTAGCCTTTGCCTTCAAAGCATCTACAATATTTATTTTAATTAAGCTTAGGATGCTGTCATAGTAATATAATCATTGTGCTTAGTGATTTTTTTTAATGATTTTAGACAGAGGCTGCATTGTTACTACAGAAGGAGACATGCCACAAAGATCAAAATTTCTTTTTTCTAATATTAATGCAGTGATTCAACTCTCTTTAGTGATTTTATATTGATACTTACTGTTTCCTCTTCCCACTTCTGACCAGATTGAAACCCAAAGAACCAAACTTATTTTTAAGAATAATGTGTATAAGCATAAGACTTTTATTAGTCAAAAATGCTCAAATACCTCTATATAATTAAAGAAGTGTGGCAGTAATTAGGGAAGTTAATCACGGCCACAGGACTGTCGGGAGCTCTGTCCTCCCGAGATGTTTCAGCCTCTGTGGATTTCCATTTACTTCTCTGATAAACAAAATCGTCGCTAAAGTTCAGGTCCAGACTATTCTCTAGAATTTTATCTATAATTTTGTGCCATGGTGGAGTAAAATCAATCATAAGCTAAGGCTTCGGATTATTTATTACCCATAAATAATGTCACTTATTCCAATTCATTTTGCCACTAGTAGAACAGTAAAAGGCAAATCAATAGCTGAAGCATAATTTAAAACATTGAAAGATCTATTTAAAATTCTGTTACAGATTTCATCTTTATGGTCATTTCTTAAGCATTTACTAAGAATATTCTGACTATCCAGATACTCGGCCATCATGAAATTCCTGGATTTTCTTACTTCATTAACTATTCACATCACCTAGAAATGTGGTACATACACCTTCTCAGTCACACCTTACTATTCCTAGAAAAGAACTCGAAAATACTCCCCAAACCTGCAGATAAAATCTTTCAGGTAGTTTTTCTGTTAAATCCAGCCAACTTTGATAACAACCTCATCATGAATCAATGGGATTCACAAAGGATGAACTCGGTGTGATGAGAGACATAAGCAGAGTCTGAGAAGAGAGTACTTGACAGAACAGATACTGAATGAGTAAGAGCAGATACTTATAAGACAGACTCACAGACAGGGCAGATGACATTCATATGGGATCTTTTAAAAGATTCAACTCCTTGGTAAATGTTAGAGATGAAGATAAGTCACTTCAATTTTTTAGCAACTGTAGCATCATCCATTGTTAACAGTCCATGTAGTGCATCTGTATTTACAGTTTTTCCAAAGTGAGAGTTGAATTATTTGTAACAGCACTGACAAATAAGAAATGGAAAAATGAATACAGATCCCAATATTTCACATGTATCTTGATATATAGTGAATCCACTACTTTAAAGTAGTTACCATGAAACTGCATTGCTCTGAAGTGCCACAGTAGACAACTCTGATCAGAAATGTGCAAATGTAACTTCAAACAATATGACTATAACAAAACATTCACTTGTGACCTAATTAGAAAAACTGAAGAAACAACTTCAAGGAAATAAGGCAGTATGGAAAAGCAGAGCCCATGATGCCAGAGCAAAGACATACATCTATACATGTTTTACTCTCTTAGTTATACTGGAGCCTGAAAACGTCAATAGCAGCATAGTAAACATCCCAGAACAACAGGATAGAAGTAGGTAAGAATAACATGCAATTTATGAATAAAGTTTATTACCATGGTTACAAACTTTGAGAACAGGCCTCTGAGACGTTGGACTGAGACTCTGCCGAATATCTGTTTAAAAAAGAGAGAGAAATTTAATATAGAAGTACATTTGACTTGAGAAGAATATGATGTGATTTTTCCAAGCTTGGGTATTTTTAGTGATGATGCAATGTTTCCTCACCCTGAAACACTCAGAACAGTAATGCTTGGACTTTTACTTCATGTATAACTGTGGGACCCTAACCTCCACCAGGACAAGGTACATATGGTTCTCATGATGAGACTCATCACACTACTCAGGATTTTCTAGGTTCAATGCATGGATTTGATAATGCACTACTGATATCAGCCAACTGGAATGCATCTCTCTCTGACACCTGTCTCTGTAAGGGATTAAGCAAACTTGGAAAAGTTAGAAACAATTTTTGCCCACAGCACTGTTCTTGTGACAAATGACTTTAAAAGAATTAAGGAGAGAAACTGCTCTTCCCTAGAAAGCAACATGAAATAAGAAAAGAATTCACCTTTCAGCTTTGGTGTCCTTTTTCTTCTGTCGCGGAAGGCAGCCCCTGACTGCAAGGCCTCCAGCAGACTATCCATCACTCCTGTCTCATCACCCTCTGTGAAAAGAGATGCAGGGAATTCCATCAGCCCTCAGGGTTACCAAAGCAATGTCAAAGCACACATGCAAACGAGTGATGGCAAAGGCAGGGAGTAAAATGACAGAACACCAGAACTAGACCAGGAATTTCCAAACCCGAAAAGATCCAGCTCTGTACTAAATCAGTCATCTTTTAATTGGAGCCATCTCATCAGTGTGTGTGTGTCCTGTCCACAAAAGAGCCCAGAGTTTCCCAGACACAGAGTGGAGCACTGCTTATATAGACCAATGGCACAGTGAGCTTAGATGGAATGTACTTCCAGTGTCTGCAGTCATCAGAAATCGTATTTTCTCTCCTAAAAAATGAGTTTTTTTTTTTTTTAAAGCATAAGACTAGTTAGTTTCTAAAAGCTACCGGGTTTGTGGTACAGTGCCTCTATTATACAGAAGCTGGGTCTGCCAAAACTTACCACAGACATTTTTCATACAAGACTCTATGAATGAATATATTTCTAGTTACTCATACACACACACACACACACGCCCCTGATATAATTCTTCTGATAGATAAAATATATGTATTACCCTCTGACTTGAGGTGACACAGAATAATCACTACAAACTTTCACATAATTCATTAAAGTTATTTTACAATTAAGATGGTAAACCCAGAGATGCTTTCAAGATTTAAAGGATAGCACTACTCAAGGAACACTAAGGTCGCCTTTGTCCCTGCAAAGCAGATTATTTGCCAGCTTTCTCTATGAAACTGTATGCCTGCTGTAACAGCACATCTAAAAGAGAAGCTACTACTTTCCTAAGAACTTTGTTCACTTGTTTTGTTTTCTTCCCCTTTTGGAGAAACAATCTTTGTAAAGAGCACTATTGACATGTGACTGTGGCAGAGTACAAAACCACACTCCTTATAGTTTATAAACAGATGCATACATAGAAATATGTATCAGCTGCTTTGCCATCTGCTCCTGCTGCACATTTTTAGAAGAGAGCTAAACCTTGGAGGTGTGATCAAAAATGGTGGGTGAGAATCCGAGTATTTAGAGGTTGTCAATTTACGCATACATTTAATTTTGAAGCATTTCAATGTTTACTGTAAAGTACATTAAATATTTTAGACAATTTAATAAATAACTACCTATCTAATCTTTAAAGCTTACACTCAAATTTAAGTATATTTTTCCTAAACATAAGTTCATGTAATATTAAACATTTAAGGTAGTTATTAGTAAAAGTAAACATTCAAATAAATAAAAGAATTTTCTTTCTTTTTTAAATTTAGTATTATGTTTGCTTGCAAATAGAAAGCAGGGAAGAGAAAAATAGAGAATTGGTTTAGGGGAAAGGACAATGAGCTGACAGCTAAATACAAAAGTGCTGGTGTTGCTCCTGGATTGTAAATCAATTATAACTGACTGAGTACGGCTGGTCCTAGATGATTACACTGTATGAAAGCTAAGTTATTGCTGGGTGTTGACTGCTTTACAGCCAGAAAGGCTGATCCTACCGGTCCCTAGAGCCAGACACTGGCAGTTTAGGCTCATGAGGTGCCTTACACTGCTGCAGTCTCCGTTTTCATGGCTTTGAACATGCAGCTCTCTATAATGAATGTCTTTCCCACTTTTTTTCCCAAGCTAGCTCCTACCACTACTTCAAGAGAGAAACTGAGAGCATCTGAGACCATGCCATGCCCCATGTGTGCTGGCTCAGTGCATATGGCACATATGACAGCACGTCCTTTTGAAAGTGATGCTGTGTCCTAGACTGTACTATTTATGAGACAAGTAGCTCCTGGAAGACAGGGATAGCTGAGGAAAAGCTCATTCTGTTCCTCTACCCCCCATCTCCCAGGCAGGGTTTACTCTGTGCAGTCCTGGCTGTCCTGGAACTCACAGAACTGTGCCTGTTCTGCTTTCACAGTCCTGGGATTAAAGGCATGTGGCACTGCGGCCTGGGTTCATTTATTTTTTATAGGTAGCAAAATCCAATTATTTCATAGAAACAAGTTGTCTAGTCCATTATATTTACTTATGTTCCTGGTTAGGGACATAATCACGTCTCATATCGTTGATAAAGAATCTCTGATTTGAACTTTAGATAGACTCTTGGGCATGTCGACTCTATTCATGTTAAATAGAACTAATATATAATATGATCAGATATAAGGAAGATGTTCTTCCCATGCTAGATATGTTTCATACACCTATTAACACATGTTTACCTGGCATGTAGTATTGTGCACTGGAGCATCACTGTGTATGTAATACCTAGGTTGTACGGATTAACAAGAACTCCCTCCTGTTCACAGAAGTATAGACTGAGGGGGATGTGAAAGGGTGGACACTGTCAGGGGAAGAGAAGTCTTGGAAGAGGAAATAGCAGAGACAGAGGCAATTGTGCAAAATCAAAAGATGTCTAAAGCTGTTTAAATCTTCATATATACATCTTTCTACTATACACCTAGGAAATAAGGTCAATTTACATTAAAAATACCCCCTCATTTCTTCTATGAAGTAAATAGACTTTCTGAAATAGTGCTCCGGCAAGACTTAATAACACATTGCCTCCCATAATTTGTAAACAGAATTTTGAAAAGTGCAGTGTTCAGGGAAATTGAGACAGGCCAGTCTCAGAGGAGACTTCTCCAAAGAAGAATCAGTGAGGTGAAGATGGCAAGGAGGAGGAACAGCTGAGAAACAGCTGAGGAACAGCTGAGGTCGTTGGTGCCCATGGATGGAGGAAGATGACGTATCGGAAGAATTCTGAGTTTGGTGGACTATGATGGTTAAGTGCTATGTTAGTGGCAGATGTGTGCAGTGACCTCCAGGTGATGTCAGGGATTAAGCTGGAAATATTGGTCTCAACCTGGTATGGCGAAGACACACTATTTTGAAAGTCATTCTCTTATTACAACTAAGATGGCACCCCAAGGACTTGTGGGAATCCTCAACATAAAGCATGGGCCCATACTCCGTTTTCTTTAGCCAAGACAGAACATAAAAATTTCACATAACCAAGAAATACATTCTAAATGTTTCCTGAAGGCTAAATACTGGCAATCAAACCCAAACAACTTACAAAGAAAATACCTGAGAATAGAGCTCAACTTCTCAATAGCACTCTGAATGTCAAAACACAGGAGGCAAATGATTTCCAGCTTCTAAAGAGAATTATTTCCAGGTAAACTACAGTTCAGTAGTCAGTGAGGTGGAGACAGAAAATAGCCATGCTCAGAAAATGCAGTCATATAGACATATTTCTTAGAGACCGGAAATGTGTTATAATTTGGATCTAAAACGTCTTCAGAATCCACATGCTAAAGGCTTAGTTGACATAGCTCTTGGGAAGTTATTGGCTCATGAAAGGTTAAACCTCAGCAGTGGATCAATCCAATGAGGGATATTTGATGAACTATTGAGAAGTGACAAATGCCTAGGAGATGGGACATTGTTCCTTTCAGGGTGCCACTCCCTGCCACTCAGGCTTCTGGAGACCATGAGATGAGCATTGCTGTCCCACCCTGACCTGGAAGTTGTTCTTTACCATGGCCCAGACACAATGGAACCAGTTGATAGTGGACTAAAATCTCTAAAACTGAATGCTCAAAGAAATGTTACCCCTCTGTCTTGGATATTTTGTTAAAGAAACACAAGGCTGACTAACACATGGTGCTTTGGCAAAATAAGAAGTAACAAACAAACAAATAAACAAACAGAAAAACAGAAAAGCAAAAAGCAAATGGGGGAGGTAGGAAATGAGACTCAGGAAACCTAGAAGACAGCCAGCGAATTTAAGAGGACTCCCAGGATTCCCAGGACCTAGGCCTAGAGCAGTCTGCAGTTTATAGGGGAAGAAAGAAGCTGAACAGGCCTTAAGATCTGATGCCTGACCATTTACAAAATCAACCTTGGTTGTTTATACAGATCTATTATAAGAAGTTTGAAAAGCCAGAGACAGATAAATGCAAATCTTAAGCACTTTGTTTTTAGCTTGCATTCACTTAAAAATAATGCTACAACAATAGCTATGGCCTGCATTCTGGTATACAAACAGCATTGTAACCCTTAGGAGGACAGCCATTATGAAGTCATGCAGAGGAGCTCAAATGGATGGGGACATTGCCCTTAGAAAGGGTGTTGGGCAGTTAGTCACCCCACCACCACCATATAGGCTCAGAGGAACAGGGTATTATTTGTGGAGAAAAAGCCCTTCGCAAAAATGGAATTCACAGAAGCTCAGATTTTAGATATCTCAACCTCGAAAATCATGAGCCAATATGTCTCTCCTGCATATAAATTACCATATATAAGAAATTTTGTTATAATAGCAACATGTACTAAGGAAACAAGGAATATTTAGAATGTGACAATTTTATAAACATTGGTTCTTCTGATGACCATAGACTCTGCTGTGATTATAATGAAAGCTAACAGGGCAAAAGGGTCAGTAGGTGCCAGGTAAGCACAGGTGGGGAGAGAATCTAGGGAACCAAACCCTCAAGCCACTTAACCAGGAACTCAGTCACATCTAAAATGAAAATTGTAATTGTCCGGCAGTGCTTGCGCCTAGGGGTTGCGGGCTGATGGACCCGCCACAACTGGGGTTGGCAGCGGATGGCGTCAGCTCCAGGCCGGGCCAGCGGGGTGGGCGAGCAGACTCCGGGGTCCGGGGCGTGGAAGGAGCCGGCCAAGCTGGCCCAGGGCCTTCAGCAGGGGGCGGGGATGAAGGAGAGCGCAACTGTGAACCAGGGCACAGCTCAAACACACCTTTCAGTCGCACGGAGTGGGACCTCCGTCCCAGTCCCCAAAAGCGAGAAAGTGTTATCAGCTCTTTTAGTTCTCTCCTTCCGGGGGTAGCTCGTGAGAGCCCACAGAAGAAAAGTGTTTCAGCTCTTTTAGTTCTCTCCTTCCGGGGGTAGCTCGTGAGAGCCTACAGAAGAAAGGTGTTTCAGCCCCTTCAGTTCAGCTCGCTCTTCCCGCTGAGGAGAGAGGAGAGAGTTGTCCT